TAGGTTTCAGCTGTGAGCAAGGTGAAATCCTTATGCATATAACAAATGTTGTCATCTGTGCCTGCACAACTGACTATGGGCACCATGCCGTTCATGCATACATATATTATAAATGCATATTACATATGCTTTGAAGCATAGTCACATGATATATAGACACACACACATATTCAATGCTTAAATTTCCAAAGCAAGTTTGATTTTTCCATGTTAAAACTTTACAGGGGTAGGGGTTGCTTTATAGCTATCTTCCCCCTCACCCTCCCTCAAATCAGGTGTCTTATTTCACCAGGCTAGAGCTTCAGAAATACTCTGGAAAAACAACACAAACAACCACGCAATTTCACTTTGATCACATTTCTTCTGCTAGCAGCTTTGCTGGGATTGTTAGCAAGCCAACTATCAGCACACAGCAAAGAAATATCAGTGCATGCCTGTGCAACACGCTGGGCTCACAAAGCACAGGCCTAGATCCTGCTATCCACTACAGATGAAGCTCACAGGGGAAAGGGAATAAGGACTCTCTTCTTCCATCTGCCCTGAATGCAGCAGCAAGGCAGGATTCCAACCTAACACTCAGGAGAGCGCCAAAAAAGGGACTGGCTACTGTGCTGGCTGCCACCCCAGGGCCCCAGGGGTGTGAGGCCCGCCAGCTGTGGGGTGGAGCCGTGCCCCCAGCCAGCTACAGCCTCTGCTTCTGTCTAGCCTGCTGGCTCAGCTCATGTAATGATCGTTTTAAGAAAAGCAATATTGTGCAGTTCATCATGCAGTGCAGGTGTTCACCTTCAACTATCCCTGCCCTGTGCTGGCAGAGCAGCTCCTGCAACACACACAGCCTGTGTGCTTGACTGTCTTCCCCATGCCACAACGCGCAGCGCCCGTGAGATCCTCAGGTTAGCTTTACTCTGAAAACGAAATGTTTAGGAAAGAAAAACTCTCACTTGAATACAGGGAGATCAGATTTTTAACTGACCTCCCTCCTTCCTGTGCAAAGACCCAGTACATCTGCCAAACCAAGACCAACCTCAGCAACTCCATCGATGCAGAAAGGAACCTAGGGAAGAACCAAAGGTCTCTGCAGAAAAAAATCTCAGGGACAGTTATAATCAGCTGAAAATTCAGCCCAAACAAGCTGCTGCTTGTTCACATTGAGGTCACAGTCCCTATTCAGATGGGATAAATCTGAGCAGGGTATGGTCCGTGACCTCTTGTGAATCTAGTGGGAACAGTCCCAGAAGTCGTCAGCGCCAGGTATCCACTGGGGATGCAGGGATGAGGCCCTGTCCATCCCAGGGCAGAGCTTCAAGTATGCCTACTGGCAGCCCTGGGCAGAGGCTGCCAGTGCACTCAAGCTGATTAACGAGCACTTAAATAATCAACCTGCTTCAGTGACGTAGCAATGTGGAGAGAAGGGAAGAAATAAATTCCAGCTGCAGGGAATAACAAACAGGTAGGCGCAAGAATTTCTTCAGCTGTTCCCCAAGCCACTGTGGAACCATGACCATTTGACCTTGGTAGATTCAGACAGGGTAAGACTTCATACCCTTGAAGACTCAATTTCATTAGGATCCAGTGCTGAACAAGTGGATGAGAGAGAAATGGAGATGGAGATTTTAACTGTCAAAATGCTTTTTTTCCTCCTAGGAGAGGAAAGAGAAAGCAGTTTCATTCCCCTAAATTTCCCAAGTTTAAACACATTAGGGGCATTTTTTTTTTTTTTTTTTTTTGTCTGGACATACATATTTGAGGGGGTTCTAATAAACAGATAATTTCTTCTGACTTTTATTCAAAGGCACTAGTGATCTTTGCTTTTTAAAACTCAGGAATTTGTTTGGTTTTATTGGTTGCAATAAAACTTTAGGCAGGAAAATCTACTATTCAGTCCTTTTAAAATCGTTCCTAAAAATGTATTAAAGGACTATGAACTGAGTTACAGGGTACCAAACAGTATTTTGACCTCTCCTAACATCCCCCGTAGTAGAATCTCACTGCTGCAAAACAAGTACTGATTATTCTCCAAACAATCCCACCCAGAAGAGGAAACCAGTGCATAAAAAAAAAAATTAAGGGAACTGTCCAATACCACAAAGCAAGACAGTTGCGAGCTGATAACAAAACCTTGGTATCACAACTCCATTTTGGAGCTGAACAATAAATTCAGCCAGAATTTCCAAAGGCATCATATAACAAAGTTGTCCCAAATCCTAAATCGAGATTCATATACTTGGACAAAACAAAGGTTTTGCCATTTCCCGTTCATTTTTTCCCTGTTTTCATACTAGTTGCTCGTGATTACATATGACACATATATTAATCCGATTGAAGCAGAGGAATGCAATTTACCCTTACAGGTGCACCTATACACAAACTACATTCACTTGGGGAGAGCTTGTTCTTGCCACATCTTTGCAGCTAAACTGGGACTACACTGGGCTTTTATTCCATTTGGAGCAACAGATCCCACATACATAACCACATTAGTTTTCACATAATTCTTTGACCTGGAAGTAATAATAATTTTCTCTGCAAAGGGGTGAGCTATAGCCAGTTATAGGATCTGAAATTTTTACTGCTGGGCAACATCTTTTCTGCTCTTGTATGTCAAAATAAAATTTCAAAAAAGTGTAAACGCTTCACTGAGCTACAAACAATGAAAAAAGGTGTTCTGCCTGCCATCAAACCCTGCTGTTAAAATATTAACACAATGTAAATATTGTAATATTGAGGAAGTACACTGTGTCAGTACTTCCTGGCACCGTACAAGAGCTTCACTGTTCACTTCAATCCCTGCTGTTAGTTTTAAACACGCACAACTTAAACAAGGCATCCGAGCTTCTCCAGCCCTGGTGCGGAATTGCAGAGAGGCAAAATCTTACTGTAGGTTCTCTCCAGACTAAAAACCAAAGTATTAAAAAGATTTCTTAAGTGCAAACAAATATATAGAAGCCAGTACTTTTGAGGCAAAAATATTCCACAGTCTTTCAAAAGTCCTAACATATTGCTGCCAAACATGGAAAGATCTTTGGGTATGCACTGTCCTCCCCTTCCTCAGAGAAGAAAAACAAGGTGCAAATGCCCACCAATGCCAGAAGCCTGAAAGCCCAGGTTATTCCTCATGGCAGAAGTCCCATTTCCCAGATTTGACAGTTAAGCACATTATTTGCAACTGACTCTCTCTCTCAATTGACTGAATAAGCAGCATGTGGGTAGTAAAAAGAATGCAGCAGCTACCTGCCATTAGTGAGCCAGATATTGCTATCAGATCTTAGAAACGCTGTCTAGCTGCTGTAATTATGTATTTGGCATGGAATTGTCATAAAAAAGCAGCACAGCTTCATAAAATAGTGAAAACGAGAATGACCTCTCTATAGAAAACAAAAAAACCAACCGGTCATACTTAAAAAAGCCAGTAGACTTGTTCTAGAGGGACCCGGGGGCAACAGAAGGAGTTCAGAGCAGGATTTCACTCTGCTGGCTTTGGTTAATACAAGGTAAAATCCCATCACTGACACAGCTAAAGATCTCACCAGTTTCAAGGGAAACAGCATAAAGCCTTGAAATCTGAAGTTACCACTATTTATGCTTAGAGGCCTCATTGTGTCATTCACTGTGGCATGTCTGTCAAAGATTGTCCTTGTCCCACAGACCTGATGATCTAAATTCAAAACACCATGAAATACCAGGGGAAAAGAACTGAGTATGTGAAATGCCTAGTATTCCAGAGATACCTAATCTCAGCAAAACTAGATGGCTAGGATTTCAAGAAATGAGTTCTACATGTCGCTTTATGACAAAAGAAAGGTATAAACACTGCTTCATGCTACCACAGGAAATACAGGAAGTCCAAACTGTCACCAACTTTCTAAAATACACCGAATAAGTGGCTTATTCCAGATTTAAATCATCTGCTGCTACTGAAGCTTTCTCATCTTACAGACACATTCTCATACACAAATGGGAAATAAAATGACTTGTACAATGCCCCCATGTGTCAGTCACGGCATTGGATAAGCTTTACTCTTATGCATGGCAAGAAATTGCCCTGGGGGTTAACACAGATTCTCCACTTTTTTAACCTGCTCACAGAACCGTATCCTGGAAGAGCTGCTTCAGTCATGCATCCAACTGCATCACCAGATTTGGTCAACACTACCAAAAATCCTCCCGCCCCCCATGTTTTTTCACATGTCAGTTTATGTACCAAGGAAAAGCACTATGAACACAACACTCAGTCAGCCCCTTTATCCTTCATCTTACTTAAAAGGCAATAAAAACTCTTGAGAACTCAGCTTGCATTCAATATACGTAATGGGCATGACAGTGCTACAAAAAGTCTAGGAACAGGACATCATTCCAAAACTGAACTACTTACTGTGAGGGGGGTTGTTCATTTGTTTTTTAAAGATAAACAGGGTGGGGGTTTTTTTGTTATGTTTCATGAAACATTATAGCTAAGAACCTTCTCCACTTTCATAAATGGATGTTTTTCTTACTCTCAGTGGGTGGTCTCCAGAGTTTTGACAGAGGAACATCACAAACTAAAAACATAGGATGCTACAGAGATAGCCCACCTGCAGTGGTGGTGGATGTGAAGAGGGAGAGAAAAGGTGATTACAAAGGCCAAAACTGAGCGTGGTGCAGGAAATCAAAGGTCAGAGATGTATTCACAGCCCTAACAATGGGGGAGTCCTGGTGAAATGATCATCCAAAAAGCACACACACGTTAGGAAAACAAGGGATCCAGAAGAGGCAAAAATTTTCGCTTTCACTTATGCTGTTATTAGATTTATTTTTTTTAAAAAGGTTCGAATAAGAAACTCAGACATAATGCTTGCATTCCTTTTAGTATAGTTAAAGCATTTTGAAAACTCATTTTCTTTTACATTTCTATTTTATGCTAGCCAATTTAATGAAAGAAATCTTCCTTTAGAAAGCTCTGGTACAAACCATATGTCAATGCAAACAGCTGCTACTACCTTATGTACTGCTTGGTTTCTTACCTGTTTTCTACAAGGAAGTCTACCACATATTTCTTCAGACAGTAGAGATGGGCATCCATCAGCCCTGTTCTGATATGCATTCTGGGGTGCCTGGAAAAGAAAAAAAAAGGAAAGTCATGGGGCTTTGCATGGTGATTTACAAGAGCTTTACTTCGCAGTTAAGCGAGTGGATAGTGAAAAGTGTGCAAAGGCAGATCTGTTTCTTTCCGTCTACTGCTGGATTAACAGAGGAGAACAGTGCAGGCTGCCATTATTGGACTGTGTCTGTAAACTTACACCTGCTGGCCCTGGGTTGATCTGCTGCGAAAGAAAACACCTTCTCCAAGGAGTCATTACTCCTGCTACATCTTCTTATGTAAGTGGAAATTGCACATTACTGGGCAGGAAGCCAACGTAATGGGCTCAGAGTGCTAAAAGTTACAGTGGGTAATGTCAGGGTACAATAATTCAAAGCTTCTGGCTAAGTGCCTGCCTTAATATGCAAGGCTGTGCATGTTCTGCTAGCAAACACACACCACTGTATTTTTTCCAACACTTCCTGGAGGGGAATAGGGAAAGGAGATGGGGTCTGCTCACCTTTCCTACACCACACATTACAAATGACTGCCACAGCTCAACTACAAAGCGTTTGTCTATCCAGCCCAGTAAGGTGGAAAAGATCAGTAAAACTCCCGTTCATCATTGGCCAAACAATAGCAAACAGAGAAGGCTTTGCTTTCAGACCAGCAGCAGGTTAACATTTCAGAAACTCGGAACTCTCCAACAGCTTCAATATTTTAAGAACAAGGACTCATCAATTACTTCTGTTATTTCTCTGCACTTAAGATAGTGGAAACCCTTTTTGGAACCTGTCTCAAAGCAGACAGATATTTTATGCCAGTATTACTTTCCCTTCCACACACCTGTAGCCTCAATTGAGAGTGTTCTGGCTGTCTGAACACTTGCCACTAGTTTGCCAGACAGAAAAGCCACAAGAATATTTAGCTTGAAAATTAAAAAAAAAAAAAAAAAGCAACCACAATACACAACAACAGTCATGAACTACACTGGGCTGTTCAAGATATCTGTAACTGCACTCACAGTCCAGAGGGAGAGAAATTTCAATCCACACCTGAAACTGTCTCTGTTTTCATTTTTCCTCCTTTGGTGCCTGGATTTTATAATGAAGTCTGAATGAATTTATCTTACCCATATATTCCGTCCAACCTCTGTTCACTTATTCCAGAACACACTAAAGTCAGATGTTTGTGATCATGATCACTTTTATTATTTAGTTAGCTCAGCTGAGGGATCACTCTCAACCTGAGTATATGTGTATATATATATGTAGCAAACTAATGCTAGCACACCAAATATTTAGTAACACTAAAGCTACCAAGAATACCAGGTATTCTAGTAAGCCATTTTTCAATGTATTTATCAATTAATGCAATGAACTACCAAAGTATTTGTCTCAAAATTTTATAATTTAGGTGGCATTTCTCAAGCATGCCATTCAATTCAAGCTAAGCACGTTATTAACTATAACAAAATTCTTTAAGTCCCACTTGCAAGGGAAAGCTCCAAGCTCCTATAATAGTAGTATGACACTTTGCAGCAAAGTATGTGGTACTAAAAAATGATATATGCACTTTCAGTAGATTACTTCATTAACAAAACATGAGCTCACCTAGCAATGCTCCAGTACTGATGTTATCAGTGGCCCAGATGTTGCTGTGGAAGTCAGCCCAAACAGCAACGTTCCTTATGCAAAGAGGATAGGGAATCCACTAATTTTAATGGTGTCTTGCAGTTGGAAGTCAGCAGACTCCCTCCTGCTCTGCATCCTGAGGATGGTTTCCACATTTTGTGTATTTATGAGGAAGAATTTTCATATCTTCCCCGAGAAAAAGGGCTTCCTTGTATTTACATAATGAATATTAAATGGGTTATTGAAATGGGTAAAAGAAGTAAATTGAAAGAAATGGATCAGGGAGGAAAGCTAGGAAAATGAACAACACAAGGCAAGAAACATGTAAAAAAAAATGGAAACTGATGCAACATGGGAAGGAGAAGGAAAAATAGGAGGAAAACACCCCAATTCTTAACTTGAAGATGACAAAACAGGATGCAGTTTCTTTAGTGCCAGAAGGCTAGGTTCTTCCTTCCCTATTCAAGATCTATCACAACTCCCCTTAAACACAAGGCAGGGAAAGGCTGCAAGGGCTAGACATCAAGCAGAGGAGTATAAAACAGGAACTCCTCGATAAATGCTGGTTCTGTTGCTAGTGTCTGTACAGCTTTCACACAGTCTCCCCACCTGCAAACTGGAATAACACTATTTAGCTACACCGCAGGACACTGAGGATTTGTGGACTGAAGTTTGTAGCTGCATGCAAGTATTGTACCAAGTTTTTCTGTAGCTAAGCAACTTTGTTTTAAAGTTATACAAAATCAGTGCAAGTGGACAGACAGTAGCACAGTGCTATCCTAGCTGCAGCTTCATCACACACACACAAAAACCCACAAAAGCCAGCCAGACAACAAGATGTACTGAAATGTCGGCCTTAGCTTTCAGCGTAGAATATACTAACAATAACAGAACATCATGCTGGACAAGAGGGAGGTCCCACAATGAAAATCCTCTGAAATACAGACCACCTAAGTGATTTGCAACAGAATAGTCCCATAGATTAATATTATAATCACAGCTTCAGAGGTCAAACAGGCAAGTTTGGGCACATGCATAAACAAAGCTGCAATTTCTGTAAACCAGACTCAAGGAGAGAATAGCCACACTAAACCAGGCTGATAAGACCACTCTATCATAACAAGGGACTAAAGATGATGCTAATTTTCATTGACTAGTGCTTAAACCAGTTTATCTTCAGGTAGAAGCAAAGGAGCCAAATTATCTAACAGATAACAGAAAACTCCATCACCATTTCAAATGAGCATCTGGTTACTAATATTGAAAGCCACACTCCCTTTTCATGCCTCTGATCTCTCACTCCATCGGCTAATCTTTACAACATATGAAAAATGAGCCCGTCACAAGAAACAACTGACACACAGAGAACTGAATAACAAACGTGTGTGCCGAGAGCTGACGCACCTAGGCTTATCGCTCAGAGGCAGATAATACAGAAGGCTTTTAATTATATCATCAAAGTGAGGGAGATGGTAGTAGAAGGGGTTGGCTGCAGATGGTTAAGTGTTAATGAATGCTGGGTTGCGTGGTTTATCAAAAGAGAAAGACTGGACATATCATCTGAGAGGGTCACTGTTGAGATGAAAGTTGTAATAGCCATTGTTGGAGCTCTTTAATGAGCAAAGAATGTCAAATGTGAACCCTCTAAGAATCATACCAATTACTAAATGAACTTCAGTTCAATCTAGCAAATGTAATTAAGCACAAGTCATTAAAATACATGGTAAAACTCCCATTGGCGCTGCCACTATAGTGTCTATTATTGTCTGTGCTCCCATGCAACAGAGGGGGCTGCTCCCAGTTGTAAGCTCTGTGTGTTATGTTAAGTGATGGCAGATTTTAGCCCTAATGATGAGGTATGTAGGGCTCCCTGGCAGAAAGCAGACAATGAGGAGGTTCAGAAAGATCTGTGGAGAAGTCAAGGAAAGATCAGCAATTAAAAGAGCAATTTCAAAGAATGCAATTTAATGTGTAAAATTAGCTTTTATTAGCGCATAATTCCACAAAATCCTGACTCGGGATGAGAGCGCATAAAGGTCTGCAAGAGTCCTTAGAAAGGTCTGCGCCCGTAATTCCTGACACGCCATTGTGAAATAATAAGCAGTACTAACAGGATTGATGCATGCTTCGTACATGGCATTGCTTTGAAAGTGGAGCTGAAGCTTTTCTCTCCCTGATAACCTCCCTCAGGATTTCCTCCCTCAGGGAAATCAACCACTGATACAGCAAACTTCCCTTATTTACAGCCAAAGGGACGGACAATTGTTTAAACTGTAAACTAATTAAGAGAGATTACCACCAAGAGCTGGAGGTTCAAACCAGCCCTGCACTCCCACTGACAGTGTGATAATGCCAGGCTGGGGTCAAAATCATAAATCTGAAGGGAGCACACACAATGCTTAAAGCCAAAAAGCCTCTCTACTAAGCATGGGATATTGCCACATTAACCTCACCACCCCACAAATAAACTAGCTGAGAAAGAGAAATCCCATGGCCTCTTTCCC